TGACTCTGTAAACCGCTTAGAGAGGCCTGAAAGCCCTATGAAGCGCTATATAAGTCTAACTGCTATTGCTATTGCTATCTCTCCACCTGTCAAAAGAGTTTAATGTAATATTCAGGTTCTGCAAGGCTAAGAAGCCGAGCTGGGAAAGGAGAACCTGTACATGGGTCGGGAAACTTCGACACCCCTCAAAAGCAGCAGAGAAGTGTAGTTGCTGTTTCAGGCCCATCAGCAGACGCTTCCCCTTGTCCAGGTCTTATATTCCAAACCCCTGGAAGTATTCGAGATAAGACAAAAAAAAAATTCCATCTCTCGTTTACAGATTACAGGATTGAGGACTTGCAAACAGCAAACTATTTCCTTTGCTATGAGGCAGATACTAAGAGGGGGAGAGAGGGGACTAAATGGATTCCTCTCATGAGCCTCGTCCTAAGAAATCCTTTTCACTGACTTTGTAAACTGCTTAGAGCCTCCTCCTCCTTTTCTCCTTCCTTCCTTCTCTCCCTTCCATCTTTCCTTCCTCCTCTCCCATCCTTCCCTTTCTTCCATCCATCCTTCCCTTCCATCTCTCCCTTCCCTTTTATACATCCTTCCTTCTCTCCCTTCCATCCATCCTTCCTTCCTCCTCTCCCATCCTTTCTTCCCTTCCATCCTTCCTTTTCCCTTCCATCTTTCCTTCCTCCTCTCCCATCCTTCCCTTTCTTCCATCCATCCATCCTTCTCTCCCATCTCTCCCTCCCCTCATTCCTTCCCTTCTATACATCCTTCCTTCTCTCCCTTCCCTTCCATCCATCCATCCTTCCTCCTCTCCCATCCTTCCCTTTATTTCATCCATCCTTTCTTCCCTTCCATCCATCCTTCCATCTCTCCCTTCCCTCCTTCTTTCTCTTCTATACATCCTTCCTTCTCTCCCTTCTATCCTTCCCTTTTCTCCCTTCCATCCATCCTTTCTTCCCTTCCACCCTTCATTCTCTCCCTTCCACCCATCCTTCCCTTCCATCTTATCTTCTCTCCCCTTCCCTTCCCTCTCTCCCTTCCTTCCATCCCATCCTTCCTTCCTCCTCTTCCATTCTTTCTTCCCTTCCATCCTTCCTTCTCTCCCTTCCATCCTTCTCTCCCCTTCCCTCCTTCTTTCCCTTCTATACAGCCTTCCTTCTCTCCCTTCCATCCTTCCCTTCCATCTCTCCCTTCTCTTCTATACATCCTTCCTTCTCTCCCTTCCATTTCTCCCTTCCATCCATCCTTTCTTCCATTCCACCCTTCATTCTCTCCCTTCCATCATATCTTCTCTCCCCTTCCCTCCATTCCATCCTTCCTTCCTCCTCTTCCATTCTTTCTTCCCTTCCATCCTTCCTTCTCTCCTTTCCTTCCTTCTCTCCCTTCCATCCATCCTTCTCTCCCCTTCCCTCCTTCTTTCCCTTCTATACATCCTTCCTTCTCTCCCTTCCATCCTTCCCTTCCATCCATCCTTCCTTCCTCCTCTCCCATCCTTCCTTCTCTTTTCCTTCCTTCCTGTGTGAAGCAGTATAAACGTCTAAGGGTTCTTGCAATTGCTGGTGGTTTAAAGAGGGCTCCGTTACTTTTGACTTGACAAAATGGGGAGGGGGCAAATGGGATTCCCCCAACCTCTCCTGCCCACCCTGTAATAACCTCCGGCTGTAATAAAAACGGGACTTGGGCACCGTCGGTCTTGGAGAACGTCGACTGACGATTTGTGAATGTGGTTTTTTTTGGGTGGGGGGGAAACGTTGGGCTTGGAGCCTTCAAAGCAGCGGATGACAGCTGGTCCACAATTTATGACCCCCGTTGAACATTTCCATTGCCAAGTGACACACCCAAGTGAGCTTCCCCTCCTTTTACGACTTCCCTTTGCCACCGCTGTTAAGTGAACCAAGGCAAGGGTTAAGTTAGCAACCTGGTTGTTAAGTGAATCTGGCTTTCCCATTTTCTTGTCGGAAGGTCGCAAAAGGAGCTCACGGGACACGCTGCAGCCGTCATAAATCTGAGTCAGCGGCCAAGCGCCTGAATTCTGATCACGGGGGTGCTGCAACGAATGGTCCTCCGGGTGAAAAACCCTCGTCTCGTGTGACTTTTTGCAGCGCTGTTGTAACTTAGAATGGTCACTAAATGAATTGTTGTTAAGTCGAGGACTACCTGTATTTCCTGCAGAGCATCTCCAATAAGAACTCTGATTTTTTTTTCCCCCAAGGAGGCAGCCAGAAAAACTACACAAACACAAAATACACACCATGCTGATGTGTTTTGATATGTTGCAGGGCAGATCCTTTCCCTCCACAGGTATTGTTGTGGCCCAGCAGGAGCCGTTGGAGCTGCAAACAGACTCCGCCAGCGAGGGGCCTTATGAGTCGGCTCTGGAAGAGGTGGAGGGCCCTGGACAGGGTTCCGACTCTGAGCAGGGCGCAGAGAGGCTGGTTGGCCACCAGGAGGCGCCTGAGGCATGGAGCAGCGGTGAGAGCCGAAGGGAGTGTGCTCCTGACGTCATGCCTTGGAGCAGTGACGAGGAGACAAGGGAAGGGGTCCCGGATGCCCGGCAACGCTGGGCAGATCGATGGAGAGAACTCAACTACGCAGTTACAAAAGATAATTGGACCCAGGTGGTTGTAATTAGGCTCCTCTCAAGATTGTGTTTAAGGAGAGACTCGGGGAGGAGTCTGGTTTGCAAGATTCAACTTCATTCTTAACGCTGGAGAAGCTGTTATCTGTCTCTGTCGAAGTCTGAGTTGCTGCCAAGGTTCTTATCTATTTGTTATGCTTGGGCTTTCAGCCACCGAGATTTACGTTTCCTGCTAATAAAAGTGCTGTGGAATTCCAGCTAAGCTTGTCTCGGAATTCGTTACTGGACTGAGGAGGGGGTCAGAACAGGTATTCACACAAACGACGTTTGCCCCAAAAAACAAAAAAAAAAATATTTATTGATTTTCCAACTTGCCCGATATGTGGGATTCGATAGGCTGGCATCCACTCCCCCTTGTTCCTTTTAACCCACAATAGCCGTTATTTTCCATCATTAACAGCGTTGGAGTAAGAGGAACAGAACAGGGCGAATTCCACTTTTAGGAAGGCGCTGGGAAAATAAATAAATGCACCGAACATCCACAAGGAGGCGCTCGAATGCGGATCCCTGCGCCTCTTTCTCACAAGTCCCCCCTGTGCACAATTTGCCAGCCTCCCCCCCCACTTGTTCAAAGTCATTTCCCTCCCAAAGAAAACCCACAAACATGAATCCTTAGCAACCGTTTTCTCGGGGAGCGTTTTGATAAATTAGCCGGCGCCTTGTTGGAGGCCGATCTGCGTGTGCCCTGGCCAAGAAATACATTTATCATGTCTCTTTTCAGGGTGGAGAATGGGGGGGGGGACCCTCACTTCAAGCCTTTCCGCCCCCACCTCCCCTTCTGTGGATTTTCCTAAAGCTATTCGTTCCCCTCTAGAGAGGAATCGGACCAATTTAACCCTTTTGACAGGGGGGACGCTAGCTGAATTTCAGCTGGGCGGCGAGGAAGGGTCGAACCTGTCAAAACCCAGAGTCTTTAAGTTTAAGCAAGTTTAAGGCCACTCCAGTCCCAGCACCAGAAAGCTGGGAGATGTTTCTGTGCTTTTAAGGAAAAAAATCTGCAGCTTTTGCTGCCGTTTTTGTGCAAAAAAATAATCGTTTTGAGCAGAGGTGGGTTCCCACCAGTTCGTACCTATTCGGTAGAACCGGTTCGTCAAATCTACCGAACCGGTTAGAAGAGGTTCCACCAGTGGACCCGGAAAGCAGGCCACACCTACAGAAGAGGTTCCAAAAATTTTTGAAACCCACCACTGAAGTTGAGTGAAAGCAAGGACAGCTCAACTTGATTAGAAACCTATTCTGGAATGCTCACATTTTGTGATATTGTAACTTTCTAAATCTGAAACAATCATTTTCCCCAATTAAAATCAATGAATTCACCAGACAAAAGAGAGGGTGGGAATAAATGAACAGTTACTAAAGGATATATAACTGAAGAGTCCTTGGTGCTCTCTGAGCTTGGTTGTTTTCTTGCAGATGTTCCTTGACCCAAAGTACGTAACATCATCGGTACTAGTGGGGTTTGCTCTCAGTTTATGCTCTAGTGCAAGGGTGTCAAATTCAAGGCCGGGGGG